CAGGACTAAACCAGGTCTAAACCAGGTCTAAACCAGGTCTAAACCAGGTCTAAACCAGGTCTAAACCAGGACTAAACCAGGACTAAACCAGGACTAAACCAGGTCTAAACCAGGTCTAAACCAGGTCTAAACCAGGACTAAACCAGGACTAAACCAGGACTAAACCAGGTCTAAACCAGGTCTAAACCAGGACTGAACCAGAACTAAACCAGGACTAAACCAGGTCTAAACCAGGTCTAAACCAGGACTAGACCAGGACTAGACCAGGACTAAACCAGGACTAAACCAGGACTAAACCAGGACTAAACCAGGACTAAAGCAGGACTAAAGCAGGTCTGGGCCTCACGTGGCTGAGGATGTTCTGGCTCGAGCCTCTTGGGTCCAGGCTCCAGATCCTGATGGTCGAGTCTGAGGAGCAGGAGAGGAAGGACCCGGGAGGAAGGAGCGGAGCGGGAGAGTCCGGATACATCTGGAAAACACCGATAAAACACCACACCGATAAAACACCGCACCGATAAAACACCGCACCGATAAAAAACACACCGATAAAACAACACACCGATAAAACAAACACACCGATAAAAACAAACACACCGATAAAACAAACACACCGATAAAACTAGGGACGGGCATTCTATGAAATTTTCTTAATCGATCGTCGGAAGAATTAACGATCGATTATCGATTAATCATGAAGGTTTTTCTATTAAAATGATCATCATTATTATTACTATCTGCACTAATCTGCATCAATAAATTCAACTTTACGACATATAAACATAACGACTCTAGATCCACATCAGCTGTTTGACATTATAATGTGTTTAATTCAGTTTTGTTCAAATCTCACAGAAACAAAACTTAAAACCACATCACTAATTTACATAAACTAAGTGAAGATAAAACTCCAGCTCTTGTGTCGCTGATGTGGTTCAACTTGTGTTGGATTAAAAGACATGACTCAGGTGAATACAGGTCAGTGTGACCAGATTTGTGTTTGTCAAAACCAGGACAGCGTACGGGGGGAGGGGGGCGGGGCCTCGTCATCCACATTGAGCGACTCTCACCTGGAAAAACTTTTTCCCACTGGACACAGAAACATATGTGCTGCTTTATACACTGTGCACATGCCCATCCCTAGATAAAACGCCACACAGATAAAACACTGTGGAACATTTAAAACACCAGTTTTTCTCAGTATTAGTGTAACATTATTAAATGAACATCATAAGTATCACAATGTTCTACAATAACATCATCAACATTAGTAAAACATTGTCAATAAAACAAGATAAATATATTTATAATGTTCTATTTATTATGTTATAACATAATAAACAGAACATTATAATTCTAACATCAGTGTTCCGTACTAAATGTTCCGTACTAAATGTTCCGTACTAAATGTTCCGTACTAAATGTTCCGTACTAAATGTTCCGTACTAACAGTGAGTGTGAGTTTTACCTCCAGGCCCCACACGCAGGACGAGTGGTACATGGCAGAGTAGAGTTTTCCCGCTCTCTTGGGGTCGTGCACGTGGGGGTCGTGGGTGTGCACGTGGGGGTCGCGGGCGTGCACGTGGGGGTCGCGGGCGTGCACGTGCTGCAGGTCCCACACATAAACGCTGTGGTCGCTGTAAACGCACGACAACCAACCGCTCGCCGGGTCGAAACTCACCGCCACCGTGTCTGGAAACCGACACTCACCACACGAGCTGAACAGCTGACTGAAGACAGGGGCAGACAGGGGCAGACAGGGGCAGACAGGGGCAGACAGGGGCAGACAGGAGCAGACAGGGGCAGAGGGGCAGACAGGGCAGACAGGGGCAGACAGGGGCAGACAGGGGCAGACAGGGGCAGACAGGGGCAGCAGACAGGAGGGGGGGGGGCAGACAGGGGCAGACAGACAGGGGCAGACAGGCAGCAGACAGGGGCAGACAGACAGGGGCAGACAGGGGCAGACAGGAGCGGGGGGGGGGGGGGGGGGGGGGGCAGACAGGGGCAGACAGGGTTAGACATTGTGATTGTGTTGAGTTTGTTGTTTGTGTTTTTTGTCTGGATTCTGAAGACTCTGGGTCACGACCAGATGTGATCAGCTGATTCATGCTCGGGTCATGTGACGTCTGTAGCCTCGGGTCATGTGACGTCTGCCTGTAGACTCGGGTCATGTGACAGTGTTATTTTTACAAGTCTGTGCTGTTTTTTTTTCCTCCTCCGTTTGTTTATTTCCTGGAAAATCCCAAACTGTAAAAACTAAAAATACCGAGACTCCAGATTCTACCGCACGCGCTCAGACCGAACTCTGTTTCCAGCGTGTTTTGGTTGTGCTTTCAGCATGTTTTGAGTGTGTTTTTGATGTTTTGGGCATGATTTGGGAGTGTTTTTGCATGTTCTCAGCGTGTTCTCTGTGAGTGCGTCACATGTGCATCAATAACCCGGTTATTCTCCATGTCCCGGTTCTGTCAGTGTTCGTGTTACTGTGTTTACATGTTCACTGAGAAACCGGGACACTCATATCCACGTGTACATGATCAAATGGAGTGTCCCGGTTTCTTGACATAATCTTACAAATGCGCAGACGCAAAAATTAATTTAAATCAATTTCATAAACCAGGAAAAATACAAACCGTGAGCTCCTTTAGCATAAGAAGCTAAGGAGCTACGAGATCTCCCACAATCCACTGTGCAGATTCTTCATTCAAATCTTCTGCATAAATAAACTCAACTTTACAACATATAAACCATAAACACTATAGACACATCAGCCTGTTTGATCAGATCATTCAGCTCTGATCACATTTGTTTACGTTTTACAGAAACGAAACTTAAGACCGTTTGGCTAATTAGCATAAACTGTTAGCGGTGATAAAAACAACTCGCTCCTTGTGTCGCTGATGTGATCAGTTTCTTTTGGACTAAATGACTCGACTCAGTGGATTATGTGTGTTGTTTCTGTGACAGAAGAGGTGCTGATGATGGTGAGTCTGTTCTGTGTGTGTGTTGTACAGGAGATAGTTCATGTTTTAGCTTTTCAGCGTCACACGAGTGCAGGTCGTACGAGTGCAGGTCGTACGAGTGCAGGTCGTACGAGTGCAGGTCGTACGAGTGCAGGTCGTACGAGTGCAGGTCGTACGTGTGCAGGTCGTACGTGTGCAGGTCGTACGTGTGCAGGTCGTACGTGTGCAGGTCGTACGTGTGCAGGTTTAGCGCAGCTCTTTATTTTACAGTCATTTCACTCGTTTGGTCAATTTATTTATGTCACTACTGTTGTGGTGAAAGGCTGGAAAGTGTCTTTTGGACACATGCGACTCAACTTTATGTTGCAGTAACCGGGAAACTGCGTTTACATGTCACAGTATCACAGTTACTATCTGAATAAACCAGCTACAGTAACTCAGTTTCTAATAACCAGGACACTGAAACCAGGTTACTGCGTTTACATGAACCATGAAGAAACCGGGAGACTCAAAAAACCCGATCATAACCGGGTTATTGATGTGTTCTCATGTGTTCTCAGTGTGTTCTCATGTGTTCTCATGTGTTCTCAGTGTGTTCTCAGTGTGTTCTCGTGTGTGTGTGTTCTCATGTGTTCTCAGTATGTTCTCGTGTGTTCTTGTGTGTTCTCATGTGTTCTCATGTGTTCTCAGTGTGTGTTCTCAGTGTGTTCTCAGTGTGTTCTCGTGTGTTCTCGTGTGTTCTCATGTGTTCTCATGTGTTCTCGTGTGTTCTCAGTGTGTTCTCGTGTTCTCAGTGTGTTCTCAGTGTGTTCTCATGTGTGTTCTCGTGTGTTCTTGTGTGTTCTTCTCAGTGTGTTCTCGTGTGTTCTCAGTGTGTTCTCAGTGTGTTCTCAGTGTGTTCTCATGTGTTCTCATGTGTTCTCGTGTGTTCTTGTGTGTTCTCAGTGTGTTCTCAGTGTGTTCTCGTGTGTTCTCAGTATGTTCTCGTGTGTTCTCATGTGTTCTCGTGTGTTCTCGTGTGTTCTTGTGTGTTCTCAGTGTGTTCTCGTGTGTTCTCGTGTGTTCTCATGTGTTCTCGGCGTGTTCTCGTGTGTTCTCGGCGTGTTCTCAGTGTGTGTGTTCTCGGCGTGTTCTCAGCGTGTTCTCAGCGTGTTCTCAGCAAGTTCTCGGCGTGTTCTCGGCGTGTTCTCAGCGTGTTCTCATGTGTTCTCGGCGTGTTCTCAGCGTGTTCTCAGTGTGTTCTCTGCGTGTTCTCAGCGTGTTGTCAGTGTGTTCTCGTGTGTTCTCATGTGTTCTCATGTGTTCTCGGCGTGTTCTCAGCGTGTTCTCGGCGTGTTCTCAGCGTGTTCTCAGCGAGTTCTCGGCGTGTTCTCGGCGTGTTCTCAGCGTGTTCTCAGCGTGTTCTCATGTGTTCTCATGTGTTCTCGGTGTGTTCTCGTCGTGTTCTCGGCGTGTTCTCGTGTGTTCTCGTGTGTGTTCTCAGTGTGTTCTCATGTGTTCTCGGTGTGTTCTCGGCGTGTTCTCATGTGTTCTCATGTGTTCTCATGTGTTCTCGGTGTGTTCTCGTGTGTTCTCTCGTGTGTGTTCTCGGCGTGTTCTCAGTGTGTTCTCAGTGTGTTCTCAGTGTGTTCTCAGTGTGTTCTCAGTGTGTTCTCGTGTTCTCATGTGTTCTCAGCGTGTTCTCAGTGTGTTCTCATGTGTTCTCATGTGTTCTCGGTGTGTTCTCAGTGTGTTCTCATGTGTTTCTCGGTGTGTTCTCGTGTGTTTCTCGGCGTGTTCTTGTTCTCGGCGTGTTCTCAGTGTGTTCTCAGTGTGTTCTCAGTGTGTTCTCAGTGTGTTCTCAGTGTGTTCTCATGTGTTCTCGGCGTGTTCTCAGCGTGTTCTCGTGTGTTCTCGGCGTGTTCTCAGTGTGTTCTCAGTGTGTTCTCAGTGTGTTCTCAGTGTGTTCTCAGTGTGTTCTCGTGTGTTCTCAGTGTGTTCTCCGTGTGTTCTCGGCGTGTTCTTGGCGTGTTCTTGTGTGTTCTCAGTGTGTTCTCAGTGTGT